CACTCGATTGGGAAACCGATCCGCATAAACATGTGCCATTTTTTATTTCGTTTGAGCCACGCAACAGACACCACTATCCACTACCGACTGACACTGACTGTATACAACTGAATGAAATAATTGTAAAAACATCGTTCCAAATTCTTTCGCTTTTTTGTTTCCGATGCGATGAACCGATAAGGCGAATTATATCCGTTGTCGCCAAACACGAGCACATAATATTATTATTGAGACAGGGAGGTACTCAAACTTCCAAAGGGCTATAACTTTGTTACTTTAATTTTACCAGAAAAATGGTAAAGGAAAAAAACATTTCTTTTGATCAGATCTACTCACTGTTAAAATAAATGACTCAACTTCAAAGTCACCCTGTATATATATATATATACAGGGTGTGCTTAATGATATGCGAATATTTAGGGGTGTGAAACTGCATAAACTATGGCTAAAAAAAGTTTCCTTACAAAAACTAGGGGTGTTTTAGGAAAAAAATGGAAATTAATTAATATTTTCAGAACCGCTTCAGATAGTTCACTGATATTCAGTAGGTAGTGAAAGCTAATAAAGTTGCATATTTTTCAATGCAAAAATAATTTTTTGCTTTAACAGTGGCGTGCTTACGGGTATTGACTTTGATATTTTTTAAGAAAAATGGTACGCTAATAGTTTTTTGGCAAATAAAAGTTATTTCTGGATTCTCCGTTCAATTTAAAACAAATGATCTCTCTTGAATTGTTTTTCTTCGATGCGCCATGTTTGAATAAAAAAATAAACACCGTTCTATCGTCTAACTTATTACTAATTTTTAATTAATTAATTATTACTAATTTAATTGGAAAAATTAAACGCAACAACATTAAAACCAACGAAATGATTACAAAAATTGTTGAAAATGGCCCTCTTCACTTAGTATGCGTGCTTCCGCCCTACTGCGCACTCGTTGAAATATCCATAGAGTGTTTTTTATTCTATCACAAGCTGCAACTATTCTTTCTCTTAATTCCTCTACAGTGTACGCTGACAGCGTTGTTTCAACTCAATAATAATAATAAGTTACTGGTAAAAACATCTACCTTCATTAGGCTTGTGCTGCTCCTTGCGAATTATACAATAAGAGGTATCATGGCTTGAAATCGTTTAACGCCACAATTATTGCAAACCACTCAGACTTCTGACAAATTACACTAAAAATAAGAATCTAATGACAGAACTGGCAAAAAATCAACTTATGTCAAGTGCGCTTGTAATATGCACCACGATCCTCACTATAGACTGTGAGAATTAAGAGACAAATAAACGCTTAACTGGCTCCTTCTATCTAGTCTGAATTCGTTGAGTTTGTTCGTTTTGGAGATTTTGGATTATTGGTGTTGCCCTTAGAAACACATATGAAGGGTACCGGGGAATAACGACAATAGTTCATCCGGACTGATTTTGAGAAAATCGGTAATTAAGGTTTACTTACTTGTTGGAAAGTAAAGTTGACGAAAAAATAACAAGTAAAGAATATCTTTGCTAAACAGTGTGTTTATTGGTAAAATAGGTTTTACAAAATGAACTTTTACTCAAAACTAGTAACGTAACAAACAAAGGATGATGTTCAACTCTGGACTCGTGCCACTTTTCCAATGCTTTAAGCGTCTATTGCGGGGTTATCGACGGTATGATCAAGAGATATTAACTGTTGAAAAAATGCCCTGGAATCTGCTCTCTCTAGAAATGTGGTCAGATTCTGCAGATCGTTCCATTGCTTACTTTTAATTGGGGTTGGGCATTGGTAAAGTTTTCTCAATGTTTCCTATTCTCGTATTTGTTGATCTTGTTAACCAAGTAATGCAAAAACCGAATAACTGTAAAGTTTTTATTTTGCCCTGGCACAGGAGTCACAGAAAATGACAAGTTATTTTACTTCCATAGGCAGGATGTTATAAAAAAAGTGATACAGCATAGAATAGACATCGTCAGCTCCTTTCTTAGCAATAGATTTATCGTAGGTATAAAAGATAGAATTTGAGTTTGACAGAATGTTAAAACTGATGAAATTTAGTAGCCGCTTATAGTAAACATCATTTGTCGTGATATTTGGACAGGGCAAGTTTTTTTGGTAATCCATCGTGATACTTTCGATAGCGGGGAACTTCGAGGTACGTTTGCGGTAAGTTCTCTTCAGACTGTAAACTCGCTCATTCCTTTTTGATGTAGCGTCTTCTCAAATGTCTTTTTGTTAGTTGTTAGTTTGTTCCGTGTGGGAATTTAAGCTTTTAAGGAATCACGCGTACTACAAGTATCTTTGCGTGGATAACCGAACGATATATTGAAGTTGTTTCCAAAGATTTCTCGGAAGGATTCATAGGAAATCTTGTTTTCAACTTTGCTAATAGAATACATTTTGCGATATTTAGATTTTCAGGTGGGTAAACTGTTTGCCAATCTGCAAAAGAATAATGAGACTTGCGGCATTTGAGGCTCTTAATAAACTCGGTCGCTTTCTGTTTTGTGTTTTCTGAAAGTTTGTGAAGTCGTGTGTTGTGTTTTCCACGTATGTCGATGCGCGATTTCCCAGTTGCAACTAGTGAGTCTCTTATGTACCGAACTCGACAAAGTGTAATTCCGTGTAAAGACAAAAAGCCTTAAGACAAACTGGAATATCACGTACAATTCCATTTTCAACCAATCCGACACGATAACTAAGTGAAGCATTATTAAACCTTGACTCCGCTTCATTTCTTCGAGGGCAGTGACAAGCAGTGACAAGACCACTAAGATAAGCGTTTTGTGCATTAGTGTTTCCTAGTTCATTAAATTCACGAAGAAGTCTACACCGTTCAGGTTCAGGAACAGTAGTAAAACAGCGAAAACGTTCACAAAAACAATCAGATCCAAGTTCGTGGGCAGTGGCGCGCAACGTTTTCATTACCTCTCTTTGTCTTCCTGTTTCCATATGGACTGATGCCGTTTTTCCGTACACGCGCAGGGACTCATGCCATTCTTAATAATACTCTACTTAACCTACCCAAATACTAAATTGAAACACTCAATCAAAGGAAACTTTGACAAGCAAAAGACGCTTCAAAACAACGAGCTTGATAGCTTCCTAGCATACATATATACGTATACACACATATATTACGTAAAATAAAATTAAATGTAAGAATTAAAAACTAACTTTTCCACAATTACTACAATGACAAATAAATCTGTTTCACATGCTTACGAAATCTGTTTACTGGCCAATCCTTTATATTGTCATCTAATTCGTTATAAATCAGGATAGCATTGTAAGTGTATGAACTACGAAATAAAGTTGTTTTATACATAGGGATCTCTAGTCTTTTTTTGTGTCTGAAATCAATGTCTGAATTATTTCGTCTGAAAACAAATTTCTCATAAAGATACAAGGGGGATCTAGAAGATATGATCTTATGTGTAAACACTGCTATATGGTACTTGCAAGCATTTTCTATACACATCCAACCAAGCTGAAATCTCTTTAAGGAAACATGATCATACTTCTTGAGATTAAATACAAATCGACAACAAGTATTTTGGAGTTTTTGGAGTCTTGCTTTTGTGATAGAATCAAGACAATGATAGAACACAGTGCTACAGTAAAATAAGCTTGGAAATATAATAGTCTCATATAACTTTTTTCTAACTTTAAAATTCAAAATAGAGCGATTGACATAAAAACACTTCAACGTTGCATAACATTTTTTTAAGATAGACGAAACATGCTCCTTAAACCGTAAAGTATAATCAATAATCAACCCTAAATTTTTTTGTAGTATTTACGACAGCTAGACGCTCCTTGTCAATTTTTACATCAAGAGAATACAATATAGTGTTACGTTTGACAGCAGGACAAAAAAGCATCACTGAGCACTTATCCTTATTGAGCTTAAGATTGTTACCATTTGAGTATCCTACTATTGCCTCCAAATCATCATTAAGCTCATTGATTGAAGTATGCAAAGTGTTACTATTAAAGCTTTTATATATCTGTGTATCATCGGCATAGCACATCACAGAAGAGTTTTTCACAGAGCTACCCAAGTCTATAGTATAAATTAAGTACAACAAGGGCCCTAAAACTGAACCCTGAGGGACACCTGATGTTATATCAATCGGACTAGATATAGTGTTGTCTATCTCTACTACTTGTTTACGATTTGAAAGATATGTTATAAAAAACATTAGAGGTATGTCTGAAAAACCAAAAAACTTCAATTTAGCACATAAAAGCTCATGATCTATTTTATCGAACGCCTTAGAATAATCTAATGATACAAGTGCTGAAGCATCTCCCTCATCAAGCGAAGCAATGATGTCATCTAAAACCCTTGCTAAAGCTGAAGTTGTACTAAAACCACTGCGGAAACCAGATTGACACTTGGGAAAGAAATCATTATTAGAGAAATAATGATAAACCTGATGTTTAATCAATTTCTCCAATATCTTCGATATAACAGGAATCAAAGTTATAGGTCTTAAGTCTGAGAGACATTTTGGATTTTTACATTTAGGCAAGGGTTTGACAAGAGATAGTTTCCAAGCATCAGGGAAATACCCAGCCTCCAGGCAACAGTTCAATAAATGCGTCAGGGGTAGTAATACTCGAGGCAAGCAAAGCTTCAGCATTGAGACTGTTATACCATCCGAACCTGCTGCATTAGATTTTAGGGACAGAATAATGTCTAGCACATTTTGTGTGCTAGATAGCTAGCTTTATAGCTGTTGTTCTGTGAACCTAGCCCCTTTTTACAATATAAGAAGCTGATTACAAGGTAGCATCAGGAAAATCCCACCAAAATAAACTGAAAGCTCAAATTAGCCAAATAATGGACTAATGCCGTTTTTCCCCGGTACCCTTCATATGCTAAAACAGATGAACCCCTGCCCGAGCATCTCCCTCTTAGCCGTCTCGCCACTTTCCTCCTCATCTCTAATCAAGCATTAAAGTGCTTCGCAATACGTCGTCATGCTTCTTTTTCTACTTCCAGTCTCAGCGAAGGCCACCCAGTGTCTTCCTGAGGCCAGCGAGATATCTGTCTCAACGGGCCCTTACTTTGGAGGCAGGATAGCAGTGGAAGCAGCGGATGGTGAGAGGTGTGCAGTTGACGGGGAACCTGGAAGCCTGAAGGACACGTACACGCTCAGGATCAACCATGCCGAGTGCGGAAGCCAAGTGAACGAGACCACGGTTGCTACGTTTGTTCTGGTTCAGGAGAACTTGCCAATTTTGACGCATAGCACCAGAAGGTAAGCTGGAAATTTTCGACAGTAATGTTACACTTTTGAGATAAAAATAATAATAGCCGTCTTTGTTTGTTTACAACAACACTGTGGTTCAACTTAAATGGCGAAATTTAGTTTGAATCTCTTACATTTAACCATGAACGTCTTTAGCAGTTGTTGATATTAATGCAATATTATTCACAACAAATTTAATTTTTTGGTATTAATGCGAAAACTGGCACAGTTTCCTAACAAAATACGCCAAAAAATAGAAATGCAAAAAAGATTATTAGAAAAGTAAATGGTTGTGTAATAACGAATTCACCTTTTGTCGAAAAGCTAGTAATGAGTATGCTTTATACAATTTTGGTAATGAATTATACAGGGTGGCGCATCGAAAACGAAACAGACGCATTTACTGGCAGCTCAGTTTATTTTCTTTTTTAAAACGCTCAGACCCGTCGATTTTGTTTTCGAGGGCGACACAAGTTTGGCAAAAAATCACGTTAACGCGTGCAGCCCCCTGGGCGGGGGTGACACCAACCCTAAAATCTTAAATGGAAAGGGGGGTCGAGTGACACCCTGTTTTAAAGGTCTTTCAATTCCCTTTATGATGATGTAAAATACATGAACTTCAGTTCAGTAGTTTTGAAGATTTATTGATTTAAAGCTTAAAGTAGACTTTAATAGGTACATCAGATTAGTTTGTACTACTTTCAGAAGAAATTTGACTAAAAGAATTTACTTAATAAGTAAATGCTTTTCTTCACTACGCCCATGGTTTGTTTATCATTTTATTGTTGAAAATAGCTAATGATGCGTTTTTTTGTGGCAAAAAAGTTATTTCTTGAAGAAAGATAAGGAAATATCTCGTACTTATTTTAAATAGGAATTTAGTACATAGTTTGCGATTGATTTGAACAAACTTTGTTGCTAAAATAACTTGTAACGCTTTATTACATAAATTAACCATGGCCACAGCGGAAAGAGTTGAAATTATCAAAATATTTTTCGGAAATAATCAGTGCGCTAATAGAACAGCAGAAATATTTAATGAGCGACATGAGAACAGTAACGTGCATCGAAAATATGTTCTCGAACTTGTAGCTAAATATCTGGAAACTGGGTCAGTCGCCAATAAAAAACGCAACATTGAAAATCCCATTAGTAACGAAGAAATAGAAGTTTTGGGGCAAGTTTATGTAGATCCTTCGTTAAGTACCCGCAAATTGGAGACTGTGTGTGGATTCTAAAGGCCCATAGTTTTCATTCGTATAAAATTCACCTGGTACAAGAACTTAATGAAGACGATTTTGATCGGCGATTACAATTTTGTGAAGATACGAGTGAACGAATTATAAACGATGAACATTTTCTATTCAACACTTGCTTTTCCGACGAATGTTCCTTTTTCTCAAATCGCGTGGAAAATCGTCATAACTGCCGATATTGGTCCGATTCTGATCCCAGAATTTATCCTGAGGTTCATACACTGCAGCCACAAAAATTAAATGTTTGGGCTGGTATTTTTGGCGATAATTTAGTTGGTCCTTTTTTTCTTACCTGGAAATTTGACCGGTGAAATGTATTTAGAATTACTGGAAGACGCCATAGATGCTGCATTAACAGCCATAATTGAAAATCAGAATGATCGGTGGTACATTGCGAATAGGTTGATGTTCCAACAGGATGGTGCCCCACCACATTACGCATTACGTGTTCGACAATATTTAGATCAGACGTTTCCAGATCGATGGATTGATAGAAGAGGTGCCATTGAATGGCCCCCAAGATCGCCAGATTTATCACGTTTGGATTTCTTTATGTGGGGTAATTTAAAAAGCAAAATCTATGCTACTCAGCCAACATCATTAGAATACCTGCGACAAAGAATTGTGAATCTTCAAAACTACTGAACTGAAGTACATTAATTTTATATCAATATAAAGGGAATTGAAAAACCTTTAAAATAAGGCATCACTCGACCCCCTTTCCATTTAAGATTTTGGGGGTGGTGTCACCCTCGCTTAGGGGGCTGCACGTGCTAACGTGATTTTTTGCCAAACGTGTCCCTGTCGAAAACAAAATCGACGGGTCTGAGCGTTTTTCAAACAAAAAACTGAGCTGCCAGTAAGTGCGTCTGTTTCGTTTTCGATGCGCCACCCTGTATATGATGGTAGCATTGAATTAGGATCGTTGAATACTGATTCTGATAATTCTATCTCTAAGTGATCTGGAATATCATTGTAAAATGAATGTTTTCCCAAGTAAAGCGGTTTAGACGTAACAATTTGTGAATGAGAACTGAGCAGTGATATTTAACCAAATCATTAATTTTCAATCAATTTAGTGTTGTATATTTTTATTGATACATGATTAAATTTGACGAGTCTAAAAATAAATCGAACGCAACTATCTGGAATAATTTCAATCTGGTATATTTGTCTTCACGCGGATATATTACAATAATTTAGAACAGATAAGACGAAGGATTCAAATAGTTATTTACGTAACTCAAAATTTACTATGTTTCTGTTTACAGATAGAATACATAGCCTTAGATAAGTTTTCTGCGAAAGACTTGATTTCTACATAGAATCTCACGTTGATCACAAATATGCTGTGATATCATGAATAAGACTTCCAAATTATCTTTGAGGTAACTACTTTGGGCATAACAGGGATCATTGATAAATTTATTTTTAAGTCTTCTGAAACTTCTGTAGGAACTTCTTTACCCGATTTCATATACAGGTGACTTTGAAGTTGAGTCATTAATTTTCAGATAATTATTGTAGAAGGAAGATAAACCAAAATATGTGTGTAGAAATAAAAAAAAAATTGAAAAAATGTTACTTTGTTTTATAAAGTATCCTCCCGACAAGTATTTCAGTGCGGACCTGTATTTGATCGTGCGGTCTTGGAGCACCGGCATGCCCTCCCCTGTGAGGTCTTAAGTCACCTGATTCACGAGCCCTTTGTAATACATTAACAAAGGCACGAGGGGTTGGTTGCATTCGATTGGGAAACCGATCCGCATAAACCCGTGATGCCGCGTAAATAAGAATCATGTCCACAAGTTCAGCATTTTCGTAAACATGTGCCATTTTTGATTTCGTTTGAGCCACGCAACAGACACCACTATTCACTCACGCGTTACCGACTGACACTGACTGTATACAACGGAATAAAATAATTGTAAAAACATCGTTCCAAATTCTTTCGCTTTTTTGTTTCCGATGCGATGAACCGATAAGGCGGATTATATCCGTTGTTGCCAAACACGAGCACATAATATTATTATTGAGACAGGGCGGTACTCAAACTTCCAAAGGGCTATAACTTGGTTACTTTAACTTTACCAGAAAAATGGTAAAGGAAAACAACATTTCTTTTGATCAGATCTACTCACTGTTAAAATAAATGACTCAACTTTGAAGTCACCCTGTATAAAACGTTTTTCCTATATACAATCTCGTGCTGATTACGAATCTAACGTAAAAATAGTAGTTGTTACTTCATTTTACGAAATTGACCTCTAAGGTCATCATCTAAGTCATAAATAAATTTCTTTTTTAATCTCGGGAGTCGTTTCCATAAATCTTTTTTTTGACAAAATGCGAAGTTGCCAAGTTTTCGGAATGTTTGAATATTTAATACTATGAACTAACATGAAAAACCAAACATATAGAATCTTCTAAATTAAAACGCTAGTATTAGCTTTTGTTGTTCTTGGTACACTGTTTTCCAGCGTTATTTTTGTTTTAGATTCCTAGTCCTCTGTTCCTACCAACCAGAAACGCTGACGGTGCGAGCCGGGATAAGTTTGCCTACAAATACGAATTCGTCACGTCATCATGGCAAAGTTCAAGCGCAGATATCTCCGTATGAGGGAGAAGATAATTTTGTTACCAGGAGATCAAGGACGGGAAGGGTGCTGCAGAAACCAGAAGCATTAGGTAAAAATCACTCAAATTACCTTTATAAAATTGTCATCTTTCTATACCGCATGCATACACTTGTATACCCTTAGTCGATGAATCAGAATATTCTTTTACTATTCATATAATAATAATACATTTAAAGCATGCTATGACAACCACGTCAACATTTCATCTTTGTTTTTATTTACCTTTGTTAAAATGTTATCTCTTAGTTTTTGTGAATTAAGCCGTTTCTGACAGCTGATCACATCCAAACATCGATCATCTCATTTTGCCGATCCCTAGACGTATACAGGAGTGTATTCAGCAGCGGAGTCGCCCAACGCATTATTAATTTTTTTCTCATGACTTGTCGATGAAATTTCGTGAAAATGATATCGTTTCATTCTTGATGTAAGGCTACCTTATTGCCAAAAGATCAAGCTGATAAATTATTTTTTCTGGGTGTAACACTTTTAATGTCAGTGCTTATATATACCTGTATGTACCAAAAAAGAAGTCCGGGAACACGAGATCCTAGCTCTAGAGGTTATTGAACCAACGTATTTTTCTAATCTACACTTCTCACTCGTCGGTAAACACTTCGCATGCCAATAGGTCTTCCGTGTTCTGCAAATCATTAATTTGCAATGGACCTGGTAGTGGAGAAACGGTCCCTTAAGGCCAATAATCTTAGGCGGCGATCTTCACGGTCTGTTGTTCTACGGCGGCGTCCAGTGCCCCTTGCTCTTTGCGTACGGCCTTCTCGAAGCCATGCCTGACAACACCTAACCACAGTGTCTACACTTCTTTGCACTCTAACTGCAATTGCCCGAAAAGAAAGTCCAGCTTCCCGAAGTCCCACTATACGGCCCCTATCAAACTCACTAAGTTGACGAAATCGTACAGGTCTCCGTACTCTAGGCATCGTAACCGATCGTAAAGGATGTCAAGAACCAAAATCCGCCAACGTTGATTCATTACTGCGGCTGAAATATTCATTTTTAGAGCGTTAGTGAATTAAAAAAAAGCAATATAAAAACCGGAAGGTCCAACTGATAAGGCTGAAAATTTTTTTACTTGTTATTTACAGTAAGATAAATACATTCACCAACTTTTATTAAAATAAAACCATTTAAACTGGGTGTTCGGATTTATATGTCACTTAGTATAGTATTACAGCCTGGTCCGCAAATGACGCTATACTGCCAGTAACACTGCACTTGTTCTTCAAGGCGAAATGAGGAGGATAGCAGGTCATTCGGGCAATTGTTTTGCCTCTCATCCGACAAGTCGCCACACCTCAAGTTCTTTTTCATTGGATAGGTGTAGATAGAATGTTGAATCGCTATTCGGAATGGATCCATGGTACTGCTAGACGAGGTGCGCTATAATTGCAACTGGTATTGCAACACGAGCTCATCCGATACTGTGTTTTAGCTTGTGGTAAAGTTTATCTGACATTATTGATTTCCAGGAAATTGCGTCATTTTAATTGGGGAATTACCGAATCAGATGATCGAATGCAGAGGAAGCCAGATTGAACCGTGTGATGAAATTTGTAAAATATTGTTAATGTAAATTTGCAAATCCATCCCATTTTTCCTAGGGGGTCTGATAAAAAGTTTTATTTATTTATTTACTAAATTTACCGGTCATCCCATTTTTAGAAAAGACAGTTACAATATTATACAGGGTCAGGTCGCACCCCCATTTGTGGTATATTTTGGGAAAACACTCGGATACGTCAAGTTTGAGCTCTTTTCATTTATGGCCGTACGATACAGGGTGATCCAAAAATAAGATATTGCGATACACTTTAGATTTTTAAATAGAAACCCCGATTTTTTTTAATATTTAGTTTTACATGAAATTCTTAGTAACTTTTGTGATAAAGTTTATACCTCTATCTTTCGTCGTTGTGAAGTTATTTGAGTTTATAATAAAATTCGACTAGCTTAATACTGATAATAATGGCAAGAAATCAATAAATAATAATCGTGGATACCAGCAAGAACATTTAGCATCAGTCAGTGTCATCGTATATCATAGAAACATTTTGTATTTCATTTTAGGTTGTTCAGTTATCAACCTAATTGTGATAAGTATTGAATAGTGACTTATTGAGAAAATTTGAAGAAACCGAATCTGTGTCTAATAATCGCCGTAATTTTTTTCTGACGATGTTGGTCAATTGGATAATAAACCATTATTATTATAAGCTGAGGACACATATAAGTTCATGGTGACCTAAGTGGCTAGTCCTAGACTCTCGAAGATTTGCGTTGTTTTCTCAAATTTGTAGTAAGATTCGTGAAAGCTTTAGTGATTTTCCTATTTAAAGTAGTGATATATGAACACATTGATAAACTTTTGTATGCCTTTATAACTATTAGATTATTCAAAAAGGTACGATGAATGACCGTTTTAAAATTTTGCAGTCATTTTTAAATATGGTGTCTCAACGTTGACGATTTGTATTGCGTGACCTGATCTTTTATATACTGTGCCTAATAAAGCACTGCATTCTACCTAATGGCGCATTAAGGGAACCTTAGTGTCTGCTTCCAAATTACTACTTATCAAGACAAGGAATTTCAATTGGAATTTGTCAAAAATTTATATACAGTCAAATGATTATCATAAGTAATATCATAAGGGCATCTATTTTTTCCGAAAAAAATCAAAAAAACACGTTGCTAAGTAATATTTTAACAAGGAGCATGAGTGCTGGTGACAACAAGGATCCGAGTCGAAAACGAGGATTTTTTCACCTGCACGAATATTTTTTGGTGAAAAAAATATTACTTTGCATTATATTTTTTCGATTTTTTTCACAGATAAAAGTTAGATGCCCGAATGGTATTTGACCAGACTATTTCATGAGTAACAGATTATTCTATACACATAGCTTACAAAACTTATTGACAATAAAATCAGAAAAATTGTTTATCGTCGTTTTCTGGTGTCCTAGGGGACCATAATTACTTACTATCACAGTTTTGTAATTTTTGGTGACAACAGCTGCCAAGTTTTGCCGCGGGTAAACCCGAAAAAACTGCTGACAGGTGCTGTCATACAATTTTTCCATCTAGAAACCATTTGTAATTCAAAATTGCGCGTTTGTGATTGGTAGCAGCTCTGCATCCTCACCTGTACCTGGTGCGTCAAGTTTCCAACTCGGGCAAAAACAATTGCCCGAACGACCCGCATAACCTATTCACCTTGCCTAAAAAGCCGATACAGTACTGTTAGCCGTACCACACACCCAGCATCCTGTCTGGGCGATGGTGATGGCTCACATGACGCGCCAAACATCATTAACCCGAGCGCGCCTACGCGATTACCAGCGCTTTACCACACGTATTACCATTCCTGTTCGACCATTAACTGGGTTTGCTGCGTCTTGGTCTTCGGTCGACCACGAAGATGCTCTTTTCAGATAACGCTTTTTGTTTTTACGCTGAACTTTCTATGTTCATTAGGTCGTTCGAAGACGCTATTTGTTGCCATTTATTGTGAACGGTTTCTTGAGGTGTCGGTCAGCTGATCAGTATTTATAATACCTTGTAAACAACAACTTGAGAGAAATGAAAAATGGACGCTGGCGGGATTTGAACCCGCATCTCCTCCATCCGTGTCGCCCACTTAGCCAATTAGTCCACAACACTTTCAGGGTCGACTCTTACAGACAAATTCAATCCTATCCACGCTACTGGTTCTTTGTTCTTTCAAGCTGTTTGTTTCCTGATTTGGCGGCGCTCAAGTGAAACAAACCGAATTAGTAAGTTATTGATTGGTTGAATCGCCTTCTAGTTGAACCACGCCGTCTCGTGGGCACTTACCACGGTACCACCGTGCGAGGACAGTAACCTGTATACGCATCTGTAACAGCGAGTATGTTTTGTTTGTTGCTCATTGCCATTTATTTTGATCGGTTTCTTGAGCTTTCGGTCAGCTGATCAATATTAATAATGTTGAGTGAACTACAACTTGAGAGAACGGAAAAATGGGCGTTATGGGTTAGGCTATTCTCTTCCGTTTTGGTACCAGACGATAATCTTTCATCAAAATAGCTTTTACCCATAATGAGCTGAAATATTCTGGCAATACGGTTCGTATTACGGTAATCTCCTTTGCCCAGTGTTTGTCATGAATCTTACAAATGAAGCGGCAATGGTTAGGTAAAGGATTACCTTTTGAAATGTATCCCCTTTACCACACGCTGTAGATTAAGAAAATATGTTGGCTCAATAACCTCTAGAGCTAGGATCTCGTGTTCCCGGACTTCTCATTTAAAAAAATTGTTCATTTTGCCACTAATTTATGAGTCTAACTAAAAATAATTTTAGGTTGTAGCCCTTAACTCCGCCTAACTTATATATTTAACTTTATTCTGCAACTCTAATAGTAACGAATATATTGAGCTTTGACGTACTATTTGGACGTCCTGTATACTGTCAGCTGATGATTCCACTTATCTTTAATCTTTATGTCACTTACTACTCAAATGAAAACTGTGAATGCGAAATGTTTGTAAGCTGTCACAAATTAGTTGATAAATCTGCTACCAATTATTTATCAGCAAGTACAGGATTCCAAATAATCAAGTTTTTACCAATAATATAACATTTATCTGACTACTGATAGTTGACGGATTACTGACACATTCGCCCTACAAGATTCCGTTCGCACAATATTTTAGATATTCAGTAAGCCATCGTAAATATTAGAAAAAATATTATTTTTCGTTAATCCTGTTTTAAGGCTATCAAAAATTATTCATTAATAAGTATAATGGGTCTAAAAGAGCTATATTTACCGCTTTAAATAACTGATTTGAGCGCAGGTTCAGCATTTCAATCGATATCGTTACCAATAATGACTGGACTATGACAGAAAATCGACAAGCTTTATTCTGCAACTCTAATAGTAACGAATATGAGTTATGGAATCCTGTTGGTAACATAACTATGTGATACACGCCCATTATTCCAACAAATTGAATTGTATGGCAAGCAAGCCCATTAAGAAAT